CCAAAAAATGGCGCCCGCTCCAGTCCGTGCACGGTGATTTCTTCAGAAGAAAAAAGTCCGGGTCTGCCTCCCTTTCTTCTCCTTCTGCTGCTCACCATCTGCTTCAGAGAGACTTCTTCTAGACTCTCCTTTGATCCCCATTTCAAAAGGGGGATCCCGGGCTGGAGGGTTCCAGCTTTTTCCAGAGAGCTCCTCTCTGGAGTTGCTGGCAGCACCGCAACAAAGCCCCGCCTCAGCATTTGCTTTGGTTTTAAGTGTCTGGAACACTGACCTCATGTTGCTGCAATATAGTTTGCAAGATTGCCACACAAGGACGAGAAAGTGGTTGCGGTGTGCATATATTTGACCATCACATGTCTGTAGGTGAATGTTGCCTCACTGGAGAAGCCTGTGTCGTTCACAGGGTGGCATCGACACGCGTGTGCGTGGCCTGGAGGTCCTGGGCCCCAAGCCCACCTTTTGGCCGATCTTCAAGGAACAGCTGTGCCGGCGCACCTTCCTCTTCTACACCACCAAGGCTCACACCTGGTGCCAGGAGATCTCAGAAGATCGGGTGCAGCTGCTGCTGCTCTTCAACAGGTAAGGCCTTCCAGACGGGCCTCCCTTCCCTTTTCTCTGCGGCTGCAGGTGAAGCGGTAGCAGGGGAAGAGGGGGTTTGTTGGCAAGGGACAAACCGAGGATGATGGGGAAGCTTCCTGTTGGGGGGACAAGCCACGGAGCCCCCCCACTCCTGCGTCTCGAGAGATCCACCTTCCTCTTGGTGGTCCTCTCTGCCCTCCAAGGGCCTGCCCTGCCTTGCTACCCATCCCCTGCATGTCTCCCCAAACCAGTTCGTCCAGGTCTGTTTACTTTGAAGTTGAGAGCTCATGCTGCGCCCCCTTGTGTTTGCAGACTGAACAGCGCCTTGCGCCATGAGCAGGTCTTTGCCGACCGCTTCCTTCCCGATGACGAGGCCGCCCAGGCCTTGGGCAAGACCTGCTGGGAGGCCCTGATCACCCCTCTGGTGCAGAGCATCACTTCTCCAGGTACAGGAGGGTCCTTGGCCCTGTCCTCCCCACCCCGCCTGTCTTGCCACTGCTCTCCCACCGGACTGGTAGACTCTCGTCCTTCTCTCTGGCCTTCCAGACCCCAGTGGCGTCAGCCCCCTCTCGTGGCTCCTGACCCATTACCTAGAGAATCTGAAAGCAGCTCGGAGCACCAAGGGCTGGGCCGCCGTCTTCAACTCCCGCGTCCGGCACCTGAGCCACCTGCTGGTACATGTGGACTCCAGCAGCCCCGAGCCCGAGGAGCTGAAGCCCCCGGTGAAGACCAGTGAGTGACCCTCCTCTTGGGGGGCTCAGAGGCCACGAAGGGCCCAGGCAGGGCCGCCTCTCGGAGTTTGAGGG